AAGCCTTTTTGAAACAATAATATGATTCTGTATCAATAGCCGTTTCTTGCGATCTTTATTATGTTGCAGATATTTGGTATTAGATGTAGCAGACTCACCCACAGAAAATATTATCACACATTTTCCTAAGGTATTTAGCTGCTATGTGTTGATTTGTTATGCTTCATCAACCCTGTAACCCCTTAGAGTGACTAGGAACTAATTTTACCTTGCCATAATTCACTCCTGAATCAAACACTAAGGCTAGGAGAGTATTGAATGATCACCAACTAAAGAAGCTCTTGATTATTAAACAAATTCTCCTTGTCAGCACCTTAGCAAATGTATGAAGAAACGTAAGGAGAATGTACATACTGATGTTAGAGTGTATGGGTTAAGAAATCCTTGAGGTACATGATGAATTAGAAAAATCTCTTGTTATGATTGTTCCATTGAAAAGAAGACCAAAGAGCCAATATGGAGAAAGAACCATATTTAATTTAATAACACAATTTGATGTAAAACAAAAAGAAACCACATTGGCATTTGGCCTTACCTGTGTTCAAAACAAACAGAAAATTAACTGTAATAACCTGGCAATCAACTGAAAATTTACTTCTTGACTGCCTCTGTACTTGTGGTAAATGATTAGCAATATTACTAACAATAACTGGTCATCTTAGTTGCAACTGAATTGAACAACTAGATTACATGTTTAAATTAAACGTTTTACGAGACAAATATTGCAATAATTATTGTGATATATGAATTCAAACAGAGTGTGAGCGGAACAGAAATAGCGCATGCCTGAAATTTAACCATTAATTTTAATAAAATGAATGTTCATTGATACAATGATGATAATAAATTAATATGACTGTTTTTGTCTTTTAACCAGGTGAAAACTTTTGTTGACAGCTGTTTAAGTAGTGGAGGTCAGTTAGAAATTTAACACAGACTACTTCATTGTTTGTTTTGTTCATTTATCTGACACTTTATATAGTGTGAACTGTTCACCAAGTAACTTTTTACTTCCAAATTTGATTTACTTGTAATGTCTCCCTTCAGTAGCAATGCATTATCTTGAAAACAAGTCAGGAGAATAGGAAAAGTCATCAGCCAGTAGGAAGTGTCATTTTGATATGACACCAAGGTCTCTTAACTGATGTGCAATGAGGCAATTTATAACTGCAAGAAGGGAGAATTGCTGTTAAATCAGATCATGGGAGTTAGAGTTTTAGGCCAATAACTTGACAAGCCAAGTTCATTGGTAAAAATTTATTTTTAATTCATTTTTATTCTGATAACTATTTATTCTACTATTTGTTAGGAAAAGTTCTTCTCCATGGAAATGCTGGGATATCTAGAAGGTTAGCTCCTGTTTTTATCACAAATTGACAAATTAACAGTTTAAAACTACTTTTTTTTCTAGACCTACTAGCTAAGAGTCAACACTAAACTATGGTAAAGTGATAATAAACTTGATTATTAACAACTAAATATTTTTTCAGTGCTGCATTAATGATTGCTTTCATTATGGAAACATATGGATTAAACTATAGGTAAGTTAAACCTCTCTATGAATAAGCACTTGTTTAATAGTTATGAATAGAAAGTTTTTTCAATGAGCAGTGCTTTGTTTTTACTCCTTACTCTGAGCCTTGGCCAACACCTCTGTAATTTGTAGCTGTATCTGGAGAGATGACAGCAAACCTTCAGACAAAAAATTGACATTTTTATTTTTGCAGTTCACATGATTATACAGTGGGATGCCTAGACATGTGATTGAAGGGTTTATAAGACAGTGTATTCATTTCATGTGGGTGAAATATGGACTTATCATGTTTCGTAGTGAGGTCTATATATGGATATGGAGTATTAAAAGAATAAGAAAGGGGAGGGAAGGGTAGGGAAAGGCAAGAGAACCTATTGTACCCTTTCCACCCCTGGTAATTTTTAGAGAACTTGCCTATTTTAGTTATGTGTTCTATGGAGTTTATTCCTGAGAGGAGTTGTTGATCTGCTAGGTACACTTGTACTGTACACAATTGCATAATTCTCCTTACATGTAAGTCATTTTGTTTGTAATATTTCATTGTCTCTTATAGAGATGCATTTCATTATGTGCAGCAAAGAAGATTCTGTATTAATCCCAATGAAGGTTTTGTTCAACAACTAATGGTAAGTGATGAGTTTGTGGGCTGTGCACACATCACACAAGTCATTTTTATGAGACACAAGGGCAGTCAGTGTTGATACTGCCTTATATTCCTACTCTGCATGCTGTTTATCAGGGACTCAATCTGTAGAAACACTTTGAATACTTACTATGTGTTGAAATTTATGGCTTGCAGGAATATGAACCAATTTATTTAGCCAATTATCAAGCAAGAAAATCAGGAGAAAGATTAAATCAGTGTAAGGAATATTATGTTTACAAATATTCACTAATTTAATGTGTTATTGCTTGTCTGTTAAACCAATTGTGATCTTTACATGTACTCTATCCCTTTCCACAATTTTCTCGAGAAGGTATGCAAAGCAAACAGGTTGTCTTGATCCAGTTTCACACACAAATTTTAGAAAATTGATGTGTCACATGTACTTTGAACAGTACGTTATGTGTCACAAATTTAACCCTTTAACTCCCAGATCAAATTTTTAATTCTCCTTACAGTCAACCATACAATTCTTTTAATATTTGACTTTTTCCAAAAAAGGGCCATAGGGTGAAAGCCAAACATGAGAGCCTGGTCGAAGATCTCATTAGTCATTCCCCTTACTGTCTGCCAAACAGTTTTTGTGATGTTAGTTTGGAGAATTATGCTCCAATTATCTAGTTGATATTGTAAGTAGAAATTCTGTCCTGGTCAATCATGGGATGTAAAGTGTTAAAAGGGAAATTGCCTTTAATCGATCTTCTTGTTTGTAAGGATTCTGGGAAGTATTGAGGTTTTCACAGAAAGAAAAAAAATTCACTGGTCACATATGTTCAGGAGGTAAATCACCCCTCATGCTGGCTCATAAATTCATGAATCATGTTTGCCTTTCAGTAAAATATAGGCATCAAGAATTAATTTTGGCCCTAATGATTCATCACCCTCACACCCTTTGGCATCCACTCTATGGTTGATATGACAGTTGAAACAAGTCTGGGAACAAGAAACTAACTTTAACTTGACAAGATGTTCTAAAATTGAGAGAAACTCGTTGTATAAATTTTCAAAAACATCAGAACATTAAACCAGTAATTGTTGGTAAAAAATTTAGGAGAAAGAATAGTTTTAAGCAAAACCATTGTCATGAAAATTTTTTCTCATGTAGCTGGTGGGGTGAAACGAGCTCATGAGGATGAACCAAGAGATGACATGATGGACACGTGATAACTGTTGTTCCATAGCAGAGTTTATTTTGCTTAGTACCAGGTAAGAATTAATGAAAGTGGTGTCTATGACCCTTGAGACTAACATCCTATTTCTTCCTACAATATCATCCCCAAATCAAACATTTAAGTTAATAGAATATGGGGAATGTCACCAACTAAAGAAGCTCTTGATTGTTAGACAAATTCTCCTTGTCATTACCATTGCAAATGCCAAGAGAACAGTGATGAGAATATGGATACTAGTGTTAAGAAACTTTAAATTCAAGATTACCAGGGCATACTTTGTTATTTATTGATCTATATTGTGGCCTGCCGTAAGCTGTGATAAGCTGGGTCAGTACTTTAAAACTTAACATGAAAAAATATTTTGATTATTGATAGAGGATTTCTTTCTATTCCAGTAAACAGAAGCACAAAGTAACGTGTGTACAAAGACAGCATCTCTGATGTTCATCGGGCAGACAGTCCAGGCAGATGGCCATAACACAAGATCTGATCTTCAGAAGGACATTGGCCCAAATTGCATCAGTTAGCTATAAAGTTAATATATGGTTACATACATCAAAAATGCAAAGAACTAGTTGGTAAATGTTAGGCAATTTTATCATCATCCATAGCTGCCTTTTCTTTGAACTGTTAAGGACTATGTTTTTTTTTTTCAGTGAAATCATTAATAGGGCATTGTTTTAATTAATGTTAATGAAATTACTAATATTTACCAGACCGAGTGTTGTATTACGGTAACTTTTTAACTCCCAAACTTTGATTTTCAATTCTCTTTCTTGCTGGTACACATTTCCTTCAAAAATTTGGTTTTAGATCAAGATAACAACTTCTACCTGATAAGTTTGTGTGTTCTCATTCCCCTGAATAGTGTTTGCTTATTGGTTGGTCTGTTTCCTTTTTTGTGCAGAAAAACGCAAATTTATAAATGAGTATTTTAAAACGATTTATTTTTCAACTGTTAAGTGACTGCGCTTACCTAGGCTGGACTAGGAATCGCAGAGGAAAGCAGTATATTGTGGGTTATCGGATGGCGAGGATTGATGTAGATATCTTCATGTTGATTTTTTCGTTAAAAACAAGAGCCACAGGCGATGATTAAAAAATTTGTTAAGTGTTTTTATTTTAAAAGATCGATTTCTAACAAATAAAATCCTAGAAGTGACTCAGCTTACTATCTATTCGATGGCTGTCTGAATCTGTTTTAGCGCTCTATAAGTAAGTGTCATAAGGTCAAAACCAAAGAAATCGCAACAGCCAATCAGATCAAAGGAAATACCACAAGGAACGAATCAGAACTCAGAACAAGAACAAGCAGCGACCCGAAGCGCGGGAAAATGCGAGTGACTAAGTCGCGATTGGTTTTAATTTGCGTTTGATTGGTGGAGCAAGTGGCGCGAATTTTCTTGGCCAATCACCGAACGAAGTGATGCACACTGATCGCATGTAAATCCGTTAAAGGAAACGATAATGGAAAAGGAAAAGTCGCGACGTTTCGAACACAAAGCTCATTTACCTACAGGTAACCTGTTGATTCACCGTTTTGTTTTGGGCTTTATCATAAAGATGATACGCTTTTAAATTATAGTGACTTACTAGCTTGTGTAGTTGTTTACAATGCCCGTGAGACAACTTGGTTCTTAGAGCCTGAAAGCTCATCTCTTAGTCATGATCCAAGTCATTACGACTTTCACACTTGCGCAGACCTCTGTTCCCTGTGTTGGCTTTTCCTTGTTGTGTATCACGCGTTTCCTTCATTCTTCCCACCCACCCCCGTTTTCTCACAGATAGTGAACAGAGGCTGAAGAAATTTTCATCTATTTTTCTCTGAAATAGTGATCTAATCCTCTAAATTACAAAATACACTTATGCTAGCTCCACACATCGTTTAGGAGACTGAAAAATTATCTTGTTACTTAAACCTTTCTGTTCACAATTTATCAATTGACGAAAAAGTAATAAGTTCATGGCGCTCAATGTCAGCTCATACAGCACTGTTTCTGTTCACCTCAGTCCTTTTTTCCCTTCTCAATGCTGATAAATCTCTCCTTAGGGGGAGGCAATGCTTGCCTTTCGGCTTCGACCAGAAGTTTTCCTTCATCAGTGAGACGCGACACGACAGAATTCATGTCGACGTCTTTGGGCAAAACGAATTGACGATTAAACTTCTGGGAAGTGTAATGTCCCTCTGTTTCGGATTCGTGTGATGCGCTAACGGTCAATTCATTGCCAACAACTTTCACTTTGATCTCCTCGGGCGCGAAGTTTGTCACATCTAACAAAACACTGAATTTCTTCTCATCGATTCGGGCTACCTCTCCCGCGCGCGTTTCAAACCCTCCGAGCGGAAAATCGTCTTCTGTCTTGACAATTTTTCTAGTGGCTTCAATAGTCAGATAACCATCCTTGGATATTTTTGATGTAATGCTAGCGGGATCTGCATCTTGCGGGACGGGATAAGTTCGCTGGAACTCACTGCGCTCAAAACCAAAGTTCCCGTCGGAGTAATGTTTAGCCTTCACGACTAAGATGTCCCCCTCAACTCGTAGACTGACCTCGTCAGGGCTGTAATTTCGCACGTCTAGAGTCACTATGTGAATTCTTTCATCGGAACCTGAGCGCTGACGCTGCATTTTGATGCCGGGAAGGGTTTCTGAGATCTGTGACTGCAATACTGAGATTTTTAAGTGTTCGTGTATGACTACGGCAATATAATATTACACAAAGTTCGCATGGGGTAGAAAATAAATGATGTTTTAGTCTGCGGGGATTTTTAAAATCAAATTAAAAATATTGGATTCAACTGTCTGTATTGATATAATTTCTAAACACATTAGCTAATTGAATTTGCTCAAGGAGAAAATATCGTTCATGAACCAAGCAATCTCTTACGATTTAGTAAAAGCACGAAACTTGCTAAATTAAGACCAGGAAAGAAAGAAACTGTCCTGAAGCACAACTCTAAATTAAGGTTTAACTTACTTCCTATGGTTGAAATTTCGTTGGGTTCAAATTTGAAATAGCCAAATGAGTTTCTATGATGAGTTTCTATGATGAATTTCTATGATGAGGTTCTATGATGAGGTTCTATGATATTCCATTTTCGTGTTGTGATATTGGCTCTGTAATCAGAGTTTTGCATCTCCGTTCACAATAGCGAAACATAAAGAGGAAGTCAAATTTTTCACCCTGCAAAGAGACACATAGCTTTTGACTTCGATCCAAAGCTATGACAAGATAGTTTGGTTTTAAGATTTTAGATATATGAAAATTCACATATTTGCACTGCGGTGGAAAGATGAAATTAGAAGATCCTCGCAGCTAAGAACACTACTGAAACTAGTAGTTGTAAGTAGGACCTGAAAAAAAATTTCAGGCCCGTACGGGATTTGAACCCATGACCTCTGCGATACCGGTGCAGCGCTCTACCAATTGAGCTAACAAGCCAACTGGGAGCTGGTCAATGAATTGGGTACAAATAAACATCCGAATGAATGAAGATTTTAGTTTTGGTTTTATCAACTGAGTTGGTAACGTAAATTGGCTACCGTAAAGAGTTTCAAAACTGACGTTTCGAGCGTTAGCCCTTCGTCAGAGCAAATGGGTCTCTTTCGTTCTTATGGTTTTTGTGGTAGAGAAAATTTTCGACTGGTTAGTTTTAAAAGGTTTCTTTTTCTATATTGAACATAACTCATTCAAGTTATCTTTTGTCTGGATATACTCCGAGTAGTGGCGTTTTAATCTGCAATAGAAATCGAGTACGATAAATCAATGTCGAGCTCACTTTCCCAGGAACAAATATTGATCCGATATACTAAACAGAGCCGATTGAAGAAGTAACTTCATAAACTGAAGCGACATCGGAATACTCTCCACCCCATCATCACGAGATGTGTTCGGAGAGGAACAGAGGTGCACACCAATGACTGGGCTGCGTATCGGCAGATCGATCGCCATATCCATACCGTAAGCATCCACCAAGCTGTTGTTCACCGGCTCCACCTCGTGGATCCAGTCACTGGAGTACATACCCAGGAAGCAGAGTCCTGCTGGAACAAATTGAAACAAAGGCATTTTATGACTGGGCTACCACAGGTATCCCAGTAATTAAGCCAGAAAATGCGACAAGGAAGAGGGAGGGAGGACATGTAGTCCTACGTGGACGAGAAGATGTGGCGTCAGTGCAGAGTAGAGAACCCTCAGAATGCCATGGATAAATTTTTAGAAGTTTGAGCCAGATAATATGTTGTTAATAAACTGATAATATATAGATTTAGCCAAGCCTAAAAGCGGAGCTTGCATCTTTTTTTCCCGCACGTCTCAAGGGCACAACGCCTTGCCCCGGCCAGGACTAGAACCCGGATCGTCCGACTCGGAGCCCAATGCACTGACCACTGGACTACTGGGCAAAGCCGTGGCGTTGGCGTGCCCACGGTACATTTGATCACGCATGTTAAAAGTAGCACCTCGTACGGTCGTACGGTCGTACGGTCGTACGGTCGTACGGTCGTACGGTCGTACGGTCGTACGGTCGTACAACCAGATTTTTTCGGCTTGATGGGTTACTACTATTTTGTATAATTATGGAGCTACGCTCTGCGAGCTCCGCTATTATAGATGTCATAGATGTTATAGATTACAGAGAAATGTATGTTAGTGATCGACTTGTTTCAATTATCAGGTTTTTACATCAACCAAAGTCTCAGCCGTTTTTAAAAGTGTGCGATATTCGGTGGTGTTTAACGTCTAATTTTTCTTTGTTTTTGTTTTTTTAATTTAATTGAGTATAGTTAACAACAAGTAACATCGAGGCCGCCTCCACGAATAAGCAAAACAGACTTAAAGATTCTACATTATTCAAATTCCAAATGTTAGGTTTATCGCCCTCACTAATCTAGATAACTGGATACAGACGTGGAGAAGACCTAGTCAATTAATCATGGGTCTTTGTGTATATTTAACGAATAGATTCCAAGTAGTCGTGCTTCTGTTCAGTAATAGATCACGGATGACGTCAAAATGTGGTTTTAGCCGGTTGTGGTTTGAGCCCAGGATTCTAGCCGAGCTTGATTACCAAGAAATCGATCGAGCTCAATATTCTGTGTTGGGTTGTGATTCGAGCTCGGGAAGGATTCGGAGCTCGGGAAGGATTCGGAGCTCGGGTGACCTGTATCGAATTCGGTTTCCCAGAAATTGATATTGATCCACATAACCTGTATGCTTGGTAGAAAAAAGGCAGAAGCAGTTAAAAACGTACAGGAAAAATTGGTCACGGACGCTTTGAAGTCTTATATCATTGCCCTCTTGTTCCACGACGTTTCAACTGTGTTTCAATCG